ATACTATTGTTCTCTTCGGTTAAATCATCGAATTTGTATGAAGTGTTCCTTTGGTCGTGTACGATGACATGTGTTTTGGAATGGTTCTAGGATTAAACCGAAACGTAACGTTCGAATGACGTGTGACCGATATTCAGCCTAGTTTATGCCAATTTTGGTGACTCGATCTTCGAACTTCAACCCGACATGAAAAGTTCATCAGGCATGTCAAACGACCTAACAGAAAGCTTGCCCATAGCTTCACAGTTTTCAATGTAGTATGCCTAAATATGTATATATATATATATATATATATATATATATATATATATATATATATATATATGCAACCATTATCAAGATATAGTATCCGTAACACCAGCTTCGTACCCGCACTTAGAGGAGAGTTCTGATTTTGCACAAATATTGCCCAAAGATTAATCCCACCAAGTTATTCACAAGAGTGAAGCTTGTTTTGCCTAAACGGGCACCTTCCAACTTGAAAATCGCGGTGAACTGAAGTATTTGTATATATCACCATATATATCACCCAGTCATAACTCATGTACTCATGTCACTCAGCCATATCATCACCATATCACCCAGTCATAACTCGACGCTATCCACACCCGTTGAACATGTTATATCCTGCTGTTTCCTGGCCGCTTCCAGAGTCTGCCCCTCCCCGCGACCCACTACCTTATGTGGCTAGACGCCGTTGTCTATCGCCGGTCTCCGGCCCTGACGCTGAGAACGTCGCTAGTCCATGCTCAAGACGGGCGCAGCACCGGTGCATCAGCTCCGCTGCACCGAACCCATCAATCCGAAATCCATCCCGCACCGCGGACAGGAAGCCTCCAGGGTCAAACGCTGGCTGCGCATGCAAACACGTGCATGCTTGAGCTGCAGCCAGCAGCGTACATCCGACTGGCACGCTCTGCTTTGAGCCTGCCGCCGTCCCGTCTGGTCTGGAGCGCTGCTGTCTGTCCTCAGTTTCGAGCCGGAGTGAGCCGTCCCCCGGGCGGGCGCCGCCGAGGCGACAGGACCCCTCTGGAGCTGCGGACGCGGACTGGCCGCCCTGAGGTTCGCCCGCAGTGGGAGACCTCAGCGGGTTGCGGTGACGCACTAACGCGGCGATCGACCACTCAGCTGTTCGAGTGTGAATCAAAGCGGCTGGGAGGTCACCGTGGTGATGGGATGTCATTCAAGTTCAAGGCCACGCCAGGCCAAGCCGTCCTGTGTGAAGTGATGTCAGTAGACATTTCTTAGTGCATCGATTCCATTGTCACGCGTGACCCCTTTATATGCAGGGCCATGTTAAATGCTGAGGCCATGGCCATGATAGGTGATGGGCGGCCTAAGGTATCCTCGTGTTACGCCTCACAGTTATATGGCGGTGTACCTTGGCCCAAGCCTCTGTGGGCTTATGATATGCTGCGATAAAAAAGAAAACTGACTCGACTGGGCATCGTGAAATACAAGTCACAACGCCCCTATTAAAGCAAATGTAGACCAGACACCGCGCAGCCAGTTTATAAGAACTTTGGGACTGTTCTTGCGTTCGAGTGTGGAATCGGTAGGAGTCCTTGCGTACGCTGCTGCAAAGTGATGAAGCTAGTGAGAGCTAAATAAGTTTCCTTGACGTGTTGTGCGCCGGTAACTATCAGCTTCGCTTCTACCGCCAACCAAAGTTGGAGGCCGTTCACAGCACAGCCTTTCTGAAAGCCGCACGGCAGTCAGGGCGGCAGCGGTGTGACGGGCTGGCAGAGCTTCCTTCACCAGCTTTGTGTCGCGGCGGCCAGGCGCGTCACTCGCCACCTGACGCCATCACCCGGCCGGACACTGACCTTTGACCCGGAAACGGCCCAACACTTCCGGCGGCGAGCTGCTGCGCTTTAGCGCGCTGGGAGGGGGACTAATGATACACGAGCCGGGAAAGCCCGGACAGCAGTGGCGCCTCGCAGGCCGGACAGCGCCTCCGGGCAGAGGAGACTGTGCTGACGGAGGCGGCCGGTGACCCGGTGTCGGTAGTGGTCGGCGTCGTGAGCCGCCTGCCCTCTGTAGCTGAAGAAAACCTGGCCAGCTGACGACCCTGTCAGCGGACGCGTGAGGTGTACTCAGGTGCTAACGTTGGCCAAACACTCGGCTGCTCAGAAGGACGTGTGGGAACGGGGGAAGAGAGAGAAAAAAAAACAGGTGGACACTGTTGAAATTTTATACTACGTCTGGTGATATGCTACGCGGCGCATCCAGACTTTTCGTATTTGTTTGACCTCTGCATGTTACGAGCTATTTTTCTAGTTCAGCCATCTGCAAGGTGAGGCCATTCAACAGGCAGTCGAGGACTTCAGTCACCTGTCACCCATGGGGCCCTTCCTACACCCATCCTGTGCTCACTCCTGACCAGTCCAACCCAATTACCCATTCGTTTCCCACTCTTTTTTCCTTTCGCGGGGCTTCGTTGCTGAATCATCCAACAATGTCAGAAAATTTTACATTTAGATTTGCTATTTTTCTTTTATGACTACATTTCCAAGAAACGCAAGGAATTGTGATTAAAGGCACCGTCGGTGCCATTTTTCGGCACTACTGGAAGTATCTACATTTCCACAACACTTCTGGATTCCTTACCACGCCCGTAACCACGCGCGTGTTTTTCTCCAGCTCTCTACTCAGCCCAACCCAGCACCGGTTCCGTACGAGCATCCTCGTGTTTATGCCGCCCATGAGTGCCTCCATCCAGCAGCCCGGCCGGCTGACCGCCGGGGGGTTTATTAAGCATCAGCTGACGAGCGCTGAAGACGCAACCATAACAGATGACCTGACTAGTTGCATCAGCAGCGGTCGCGGCCGGCCAGCCTGCTGAGCGCTGGCCTGCATACTGAGCCAGGGATCCGGCTTGCTGCCAGTGCGAGGGCTGAAGCACGCCGGTGCGCGCCGGACCAGTGAAAATCACCAGCGACTGCCAGACCAAATGCTCGTGCCCAGTCACTAGTCCTCAAATGCTTAATGCTACTAACAGTGCTGATTTTAGATGTGTATGCAATGAGAACGCACAGGGTTTTCGCAAGGTGGGGACTGCGATACTGAGAGGGGTCATTCGGGGGGCCGCACGGGGCCTGGTGTGAAATGTTAGTTGCAGGCTCCCCCGGCATCTTCAGCAGACAACTCGCACACAATGTCCGTGACTAGTATGTAGCATTTAACAAAGAGTGAAACAGTGAGTCAAAAATAACGGAAAGTGATATGGATAGAGCATACCAACAATGCATACACAAACAGCATCAAAGGACCCATTTGCGCAAAGGATGACATTGTAGCGCGCTTGACACTTGTCTGATCCAGCAGTCTCACACCCACCAGCAGCTCCTTCCGTAAGCAGGTCGCTCGGTCGGCGAGGGACCGCCGTCCTGCCGCCCTGCACATGACACCGCCGGCGGGCCCCGGTCTTGCCCCATGCTGGTGGGACGGTCACAGGTCGGCGAGGGACCGCCGTCCTGCCGCCCTGCACATGGCCCCGCCGGTGGGCTCCGGTCTTGCCCCATGCTGGTGGGACAGTCACAGGTCGGCGAGAGACCGCCGTCCTGCCGCCCTGCACATGGCCCCGCCAGTGGGCTCCGGTCTTGCCCCATGCTGGTGGGACAGTCACAGGTCGGCGAGGGACCGCCGTCCTGCCGCCCTGCACATGGCCCCGCCGGCGGGCTCCGGTCTTGCCCATGCTGGTGGGACAGTCACAGGTCGGCGCGTCGGCGTATGTTTGAAGTAAACAGGCCAGATCCGATACAAAGGTCTCTGATGTCATGTTTTGGTGGCTGTGGTGGGCAGCACGATAGTATGCACACTCCGCGTGTTACTATCTGATGCCTTTTCCGATGTCCGGGCCTCGCATCTGCAGGAGGCATGGGACTATGAAGTTGCCTTGTCCAATGGGCACGGGACGGTGTGACTGCCTCGTCCAGTGGGCACGGGACTGAGTGACTGCCTCGTCCAGTGGGCACGGGACGGTGTGACTGCCTCGTCCAATGGGCACGGGACGGTGTGACTGCCTCGTCCAGTGGGCACGGGACGGTGTGACTGCCTCGTCCAATGGGCACGGGACGGTGTGACTGCCTCGTCCAGTGGGCACGGGACGGTGTGACTGCCTCGTCCAGTGGGCACGGGGCTGAGTGACTGCCTCGTCCAGTGGGCACGGGACGGTGTGACTGCCTCGTCCAGTGGGCACGGGACTGAGTGACTGGCTCGTCCAGTGGGCACGGGACGGTGTGACTGCCTCGTCCAGTGGGCACGGGGCTGAGCGACTCCACCGTCAAATGGCACGGAACTGTGTGGCTGCCTCGTTCAGTGGGCACGGGACTGTGTGGCTGCCTCGTCCAATGGGAGTCATGGACACTGGACTGTGTGGCTGCCTCGTCCAGTGGGCACGGGACTGTGTGATTCCCTTGTCCAATTGGTACGGCACTATGTGACTCCATCGTCAAATGACACGGGACTGTGTGCCTGCCTCGTCCAATGGGAGTCATGAACGCGGGAATGTGAGGTCCCCTCGTTTTACGTGCAGCTCCTGTAGTTGTAGGTTGACGTGTTGGATGCTGGTGTGCTGATGTGCTGGGATGGTATCAAGGGCATGCAGTTTTGTTTCTGCGCATCATCCTTCATCATGCGATGAAGTTTCGTGTACGAAAAACCCTCTTAGTGGCATAGCTCGAACAGATTAACGCCAATCTAAATAAACGATCGTTGGAATATGAATTATCATCGCCCACCGACAGAAACTGGCAGTCATTCTAGACAGCAGCTTGGCGAGTGGTCGTCTCGGAAGATGCATCCTCGGAACACAACCAGGGTCGGTGTCTTGGCGATGACCAAATCTAATCCGACCTCGTCAGTTTTCACGGAGAAGCACGATGTTAGCGTCACGACGTCTGAGACATCGTACCATACTTTCTTCCAGTCATGAAAAGTTCGACAATCGCGCTCTAAATTTTCGCTAGCAGTGACAACCTCGGTGCCGTTCTTTTCAGACTCAAGATATACGTGAACTTGTTCGTCGTCATGGGACTTTCGTGGATCACCGAGGCCCTGTCCAAGCACGTCGGTCCCGCCTACATCTGGTAAGCCGCCGAAGAACTATCAATGGTCTTGGCCAAGCAAGCCGGCAATATATGACCAGTTAAATCTAGCTCGTGTTTGCGAGTTCACTTTTGCTATCGTCGGGCCATATCCCAATAAATGTGTCATCAATCACCTAAGTCCGTGGTTCCACATTTAAATGGGTCGTCAGCCCCGTTGACCCAGAATACAGCACTTCAGCTCTCCCCACGGCGGTTGGTGTTGCCTGCGCGTCGGCTTGCCCCGCGGCACAGCTGACCCTCCCCTCCCCCTCCCGTCCGCGGCAGGTCCGCCACGGACATCATCAACAGTCTACAGGGCTGCCTGCTGTTCCTGGTGCTCATCCTGCGCAGCAGCACGCGGCGCGCTATCCGACGGCACGCGCTGGAGTGGTGGCGCCACCGCTGCCGACGCCGGCGGGCCGCCACCGCGGGCGTCTCGCCTCGCAGCCGCTCGGCTGGCTCCGGCGGCTCGCGAGGCACCGGCTCCACCTCAGCCAGCTCGCGGCGAGTCGTGCTCTCGCTGCCCGGCTCCAGACACATCTGGTTCGGCTCGGCCGGCTCGAAGGGCGGCAGCCGGAGCTTGGCGGGCTGCCAGCTGCCCGGCTCGACGTGCGCTGATGCGGAGGCCGGGCAGGGTCCGGGGACGGCCGTCTGAGGCCAGAGCTTCCACGGACAGAGGGCACGGAGGGCCTCCCAGGGACGGTGGGAACGGAGGGCCTCCCAGGAACGGCTGTCTGAGGTCAGGCCTCGCAGGGACGGAGGGGACAAAGGGCCGCCCAGGGACGGAGGAGACAGAGGGTCTATCAGGGCGGCTGTCTGGGGCCATCGGGCCTCCCAGAGACGGAGGGGACGGAAGGCCTCCCAAGGACGACAGTCTGAGGACGTGAGGCCTCCCAGGAACGGCCGTCTGGTGAGGCCAAGCTTCTCAGGGATTCGAGACAGCCTCACTCGCTATCTCGCTCTCGCTTTTCTGAGAGACGCCGCACACAGGTGACCAGACTATCATCCGGAGCAAAGTGGCCTCCGTCTCTGCCAGCGCCACCTGCCTGCCAGCTGCCTCGTCCATGGCCTGACCCGTGGGAGGCGCGTGTTTTCACTGTGATCTCTGGGCTCGCTAATACATGATGAGTATGTTTGATGGAGCATCCAGCAGCCTCGCTTGGCACCCCCTGACCCACATGCTCGACACGGGAGACGAGCTTTAGCATATGCCGGCGGGACCCCGGACGGGTCGAGCGGTGTCGATGGATTGTGCTCGCACGTGTGCTGTCGACCGCCCGCCGCCATGAGGCTTCACAGAATAACGATGGAGGTGCAGCCCTGCGGCAACCAGCCGACGGAGCGGCGCAACTCCACCGCGAGTGCCTCACTACGCTGGTTAGGTTTTTCCTCGGGACGTCCATTTTGTCCGACATCAGTGTTGCAATGGGATGGAGCGCAACGCTCAGAACCGAGTCTATGACATGCAGACCAAACCAAAACCCCCCAGGGATGTCATCAGTTGGGGCCAAACCGGAGGGTAAATGTTATCAGTTGGGGCCAAACAGGAGGATAAATGTCATCGGTTGGGGCCAAACCGGAGAGTAAATGCCATCAGTTGGGGCCAAAATCGGAGGGTAAATGTCATCAATGGTGACCAAACCTGAGAGCCAAAACCGGAGGGCAAATGTCATCAGTTGGGGCCAAAACCGGAGGGTAAATGTTATCAGTGGGGACCAAGACGGAGGGTAAACGTCATCAGTTGGGGCCAAAACCGGAGGGCAAATGTCATCAATTGGGGCCAAAACCGGAGGGCAAATGTCGTCAATTGGGGACAAAACCAGAGAGCAAATGTCATCAATTGGGGCCAAAACCGGAGGGCAAATGTCTCACATTTAGTTAAAACTTCGGCATTGTCAGTTTCCCCTACTGACGACAATTAACATAGTTCAAGGTAACCATGACAGAAGAAAAAAACAGTCAGGCTCACCTCAAACAGCTAGCAGGTTAGTTGCATCACTTGGCAATGACCATCGATGACACATTAGAAATGAATTGCTCGTGATGCTTTTGTTTTGTTTTGTTTTCCTTCTGCCACAGCTAAAAGCATGACTTATAATTCGGCTGTTTCAACTACTCTAGCAAAGTTTTGCTCACAGCTCCGCAGAGCTCGACCACAATTCAGGTAGGATGATCTCGGGGCGTGTTCAGACGCCAGGGTGGCATTTACTAAAATGAAACATCCGTATGATAGTTGCAGTGGAACATGTTCTACCCCGAAATCCTTGCTGTCAACCAGCCCGCATCGGGATACTTCAATGCGAACAATGACGGGCCTTGACTTGTATTTCCTTCACATCAGCCCAGATTTCATCTAGGGAGCATTGTTTTCTCGCCTCACATATAGAACGACCGCGGCGAGTCCTACATGCAGTCTGTGTACAAAACCGTTAAACGTCCACAATTTTTGCGTTTCAAGACAGACAGCAACAGAAGTCTCTCCACGAGAACAGCTCCGCTCTCACAAACCCAGAACCGTGACTGTAGTCCAGCCTCTTAGACGGCGAAAGTCAGCACACAAAATCTCCACATTCCACCCTTTCTCACCGCGCTTCAATTCATACTACGACGCCGATTAGTCGGTGAGTGAAATCAACGAGCGGAGGAGCACGGTCCTACCGAAAGCCAATGGGAGCGGAGCGCGCAATCGTCCAGTTGCCCTCCGCGGGGGATGAAAATGAAACAGCTGTCCTACGGAACGGCGCAACAGACGGCATCCACCGACCAATCGCCTCGTGGCAGGGGGACGCGCTTTGTCACCCTGGCGAGCGACGGGCGAGGCTCATCTGGCCACGCTTGTCACTAGATGGCAGGAACTCCAGCGCGGCTTCAGCGTGACCTGCGGGCGGTGGCGATCGGTGAGCACGCCGCCTCCAATGCCGGCAGAGCGACGGACTGAGCGCGGCGCGGCGCGGCTCTGCTCAGGAAGCCGGGCCCTAAACGACAGCTTGCAGGCGGCACACGCCGCGCTGCCAGCCGCTGTCACGACGCTGCGTGAGAATAACGGACATACGAACTAGAACACACGAAAGGACGATGCCCTACGCCGACACAGTATTGCTTCCATTTTAAGGTATCGTTGTCCACCCATGCCGATTCACCAGCAACCACCTATTGCTAAGACTACTGAAAACCTGCATCCAGTCACAGCGCTAGATCCGAAGGAGCCGGGACAAACACCAAGCACTGCACGACAACGGCAATGCAAGCAAATCTCCGCGCGGCGTAAACGCAACAACGCCGACTGCGTGGCCACCAGCCGGCGTCCTACGAGAGCCCCAGCCAGTCAGTGCTGCTGACGCCGCCGCTGGCCGGGCCGCCCTCGGCGCAGCTGGCGGCACTGCACCAGCCGGCGCCGCGGCCTGACCCGTCAGCAGCGGACCCCAGCCCTGCCAGCCCTGCAGCAGCCGCGGAGCCCGGCGGACGGACACACCTTAGTACGGGGCGGCGGGCGCGCCTCCGACGGCCGCCGCCTCAGACGGCAGCCGCGCCGGCGCATCGGCCCACGTCCGGCGGCTCGGCGGAGGGCGTGCGGGGTCCGCCGGGCCGCTCCTCCTGGCCGCCGCCGCTACCACCCTCGGCTGCCGGACAACACACACGGTCGGATGATGAGAGGCTTGATTGGAGCTCGGGGGATGGGGGGGGGGGGGGGGCGGCCAGGCGGACAGACGACTCAATGAACACGGCCCGGGGCCACACTGCGAGTGACAACCCCACGCTCACAGCGGCCGGCCTGTGGCGCCTCAGGCGGCACCCACCCCGACCCTCCTCTCACGCGCGAGGAGGGAGCGAGCGGACGGGAGAGGGGGAGGACGTGCCCGGGGGAGCCGGGCGTACCTGCGTGTCTGCGGTCGGCTGGCGCGCGGTCCCGCGAGTCTCGCCGGTCCCGTGAACGCCGGCTGCTCCGGCTGTAGGGGAACAGTCCAGGGTCAAGCAGACGGACGGCCAGGCGCAATGGCAGGCGAGAACAGCACCGCCCACCAGCGGCCCAGACTGAGGACAGCCGGCAACACCAACCACTCGATGCCGGTTATTCTGTCCGCATTCCTAATCCGTTATCGGACCTTTTACGTTTCTTTATTCCATGAGCTGTCCCTGGATCACATTGCAAGCTTCACTATCCATCATCAAATACGGTAACCGTATTTCTAATCCACACTTCCATTCCGTTACAGAATTGGTCTTTTTGCGATGACCCTGTTGTACCGTTAAATGAGTGCTACACACAGCGGTCTCGAATGTCTGACGTGCCCGGGCAAGGCCTCACAAGGGTATGATGCACTGCAACGCATTCGTACCTGCTGGACCGGGACCGTCGCCCAGACCTCCGACTGTGCCGGTCCCTATCCGACTCCCGCTGCCGGTCCCGGTCTGGCTCCCGCTGCCGCTCGCGGTCGGACTCCCGCTGCCGGTCCCGGTCCGCGTCCCGCTGCCGCTCACGGTCGGACTCCCGCTGCCGGTCCCGGTCCGGGTCCCGCTGCCGCTCACGGTCCCGACTCCGCCGTCGTTCCCGGTCCCGTTCCCGGTCTCTGTCCCGGCTGCGACTCCTGGGGGACACCGAGCGCCGTCAGCGGGACAAGGTCGGGGGGGGGGGGGGGGGGCACACCGTCGGCGGAGGAGTGCGACCCACCAGGACGAGCGTCCGCCGGACACGGCCGCCGCTGGCGACGGACATACGGGGGGGGGGGGGGGAGGGCACACCGTCGGCGGAGGAGTGCGACCCACCAGGACGAGCGTCCGCCAGACATGGCCGCCGCTGGCGACGGACATACGCTGCCCGACGCCTCCGTTTCCGAGTCTAGCCGCGCGACCAGCGCTGCCGCGCACAGCGCTGCGGGCTGTGTGAGCTTTAGACATGGCCGGGAGTTATCACGAGCAATCGCTCGAGCTGCCAATGGGTCACAGCGACGTCAGTTACTTCAGTATTAACACAATCAATTACTTTACGGCTCGTCAGAAGGGAAATTGGTCAGCTAAGTAATTGAAAGAAGAAAAGCATTCCATCGGGGATCTTTTCCATCATTGTTTTATGTCTGTTGCAAGTGACAAAGATATCCGGCCATGTTCCAAGTGTGAGTCAATAAGCGGCATACCTTCATCCCATTGCTTATATTTGTTCCTAGGGCCTGTAACATCCAAAATGCTTGATGCCTTTACACGTCCGCCGCTACGTTCCATCATTTCCATAAATAACTCGATTTTCATGGAAAAGCCCAACCACTCGTTTTAAGCTGAATGGATATCACTCCAATCTCTACTGCTTACAGGCCATACCGTCACCACAGTTCATCCCCTCAGCTCTTCCGTCCGTACAATCCCCTCAGCTATACTGTCAGTACCGTCCCCTCAGCTCTTCCGTCCGTACCATCCCCTCAGCTATGCCGTCAGTACCATCTCCTCAGCTCATCCGTCCGTACCATCCCCTCAGCTGTACCGTCAATACCATCCCCTCAAGCTGTACTGTCAGTACCATCCCCTCAGCTCTTCCGTCCGTAACATTCCCTCAGCTATACCGTCCGTACCATCCCCTCAGCTGTACCGTCAGTACCATCCCCTCAGCTGTACTGTCAGTGCCATCCCCTCAGCTCTTCCGTCCGTACCATCCCCTCAGCTGAACCGTCAGTACCATCCCCTCAGCTTTTCGGTCCGTACCATCCCTCAGTTCTTCCGTCCGTACCATCCCCTCAGCTCTTCCGTCCGTTCCATCCCCTCAGCTCTTCCGTCCGTACCATCCCCTCAGTTCTTCCGTCCGTACCATCCCCTCAGCTGTACTGTCCGTACCATCCCCTCAGCTGTACTGTCCGTACCGTCCCCTCCGCTCTGCCATCCGTACCGTCCCACAGCTCTGCCTCGTACCGTCCCCTCAGCTCCGCCGTCCGTACCGTCCCCACAGCTCCGCCTTCCGTACCGTCCCCCCCCCCCCCCCCCCCCAGCTCCGCCGTGCGTAGCATGCAGCCCAGTCTCACCTCTGGCGTCGGCGGTCGGAGCGGTCTCGCTCGCCGTTGCGGCCGCCCCTGTCTCGCTCGGCACGGCCCCTCTCGCTGGTGCGCTCCCGCGAGCCGGCCGGACCCGACCGGTCCGTCTCGTCTCGCTGGCGCCGCTGCTCGCGCTCCCGCTCGCGCGCCGTCTCCTGGTCTCGCTTCTCCTGTTCGCGGTTCTCCTGCCAGCGCGATCCGGGAAAACGTCAGCACGCAAGCACGTACACACTCCGCCCTAGCCGTTCACAGCAGCGGGAGTGGGAGGCAACACAGACTGTTATGCTCTGGTCGACCAGTGACGTCACTTCGCCTAACTCAACGTGGAGCAGCGGCACGGAAATGGGGAGGGCACCATAAGCTCCCTGCCCTTCCCCAGCAAGAAGCGGGTTAAGGAAGCAATGCCAAGACCCACGCGACACATGACACGCGAGCTCCGTGCCCCGTCACACGAGACACACCATGGTCGCCATCCGCTGGACACGCGCCGCACGAACTTCCATCCAGGCCACACAGTCAACGTGCCGCCCGAGCCCGCCCACATCCAGTCCACGTACCCGTATCTCGTCGACGACCACCTTGAGCCGGGCGTAGCCCATGTGCTGCTTGCCGGTGAGGTGGTCGTCGATGCGCTGCTGGGCGTCGCCCAGGATCAGGAAGGCGCCGCAGATCTCGCACACCTGCATCTGCTTCTCCTGCGAGGCGGCCATCTCAGCCGCCTGCCGAGCGAGACGGGCCCGGTCGTCACGCGTCGACGGCACGGCACGGCACGGCACGGCACGGCCGACGCGACGGACCGAAACACATCTACATGGCGACATACAGGAGGCAAACGTGTCCGTTCTTCATGAAGGGGGTTCGCTTTAGTGGTTGGGCGGCGAAGCTGGATACGGTCTACACACTTGGAAGTGCCGACGCTCAGGGGCCTCAGCAAAAACCGCAGGACTACTGTCCAAGCGATTATCTAGTGCTGGCATACACAACTCACGTTCGCGTGCCACCTGAGCCAGTAGGATGACAGACGACCACGGCAGACGCCTGTCCCAATCTCAAAACACGAGACATGACGTCACTGACACAGAGACCTCCTTACAGGACAGGGTCGGCTTCGGGTCACACGGCGCCGTGACGTCATGCCGCAACCAGTGACGTCATCAAACCAGGACAGGGCCGCGTAGTGACTTCACATCGTAGCATGTCACCGCACCGGGCCCGGGAAGCGCACGGTCATGACGTCACACGGCGCCGTGTGACGTGATCAGACGCAGGCAGCTCAGTGTAGTGACGTCACACAGTGACGTGCGCACCCACCTGGTGCCAGACGGAGCCCTCATTGTTGCGTCGCAGCCTGTCGCGCTCGTCCTTGAGCTTGTCGCACAGCTTCATGATGCCCTGGGCCTCCTCCACCTGCGGGGAGGCCGCCGGTCAGCAGCCGCACGTCAGGTCGGACGACAGTGGACACGGGCTGGATGGGAGCACACTAGCCCGTGACGGGGCGGACGCAACGGCTGGTCAGAAGACGGACACCGGCTGGCTGGGGGACCCACTAGCCCGTGACGGGGCGGACACAAGGCTGGTCAGAAGACGGACACCGGCTGGATGGGAGACACACTAGCCCGTGACGGGGCGGACGCAACGGCTGGTCGGAAGACGGACACCGGCTGGCTGGGGGATACACTAGCCCGTGACGGGGCAGACGCAAGGCTGGCCAGAAGGCGAGGGGGCTCTCGCTGCATCAAAGTTCCTGTTTTATCTCAGCCCTCCCCACCAGTTGGTTACAAAAAGTCACAGTGAGGGGTCCTAGCCTCTGCCCGAGCACTCCGTCCGAGCCCCAGCACCTCAGAACTAGCTGCTGTCACCTCCCCTCCGGACCCTTCTCCCGCTCCCACGCGAGCCCACCCTGACACTCCCCGTTCCCAGCGCGATCTGCCGCGGGCAGCCGGCCGTCGGCGCCCGCGCGCGCTCACCTGGCCCTTGCAGCCAAGCTCCTCGGCCTCGGTCACCAGTTTGGTGATCTTGCCGGTCAGCATGCCGATCTTCTCCTCGTGGCGCGTGAACTGCGGCGGCACCAGCGAGGCCAGCTTCTCGTCGTCCGGCTGCAGCTCCAGCCGCTGCTTCGACTTGCGGATCTTGCGCTCCACCTCGTTCAGCATCGTCTGCGGCGGCGGCGGCGTCGTCGTCAGGGACACGACGCCGCCACACGCGCCGCTGGGAGCTGCGGCCGGGCCTGACGCGGAGAGGCGTGTGCCAGCGTCCCGGCCGCTGGCGCCTGTCCCACCACGGAGCCGAGAGGCGCCGGGCGCGGCGTGGCGCACGCCGGGCCCAGGCAGCCGCGCACCATCACGGGGATACACTGTCCATACACTGGCGAGACCGGCTCTGGTGAGAGTCTGGCAGGCGGACGCCGGGCCCAGGCAGCAGCGCACCATCAAGGGGATACACTGTCCATACACTGGCGAGACCGGCTCTGGTGGGAGTCTGGCAGGCGGACGCTGGCCCATGCGACAATCGAGCCGGCTGTCGCATGGACGAGCGATGTCGCATTCATCGGCCGGCTGTGTGTGCGCTCCACTTTGACAGCACCGTCGCTGGCTATATGCTAGATGCCTGACGGTATATTAGAGCTCTGTGGTGCAACACTGACTTGCGTAACGATGCGCGCCTGTGGGGGCGAAAAGCGCGCCCGAGGTGCACTTATGCACGTTAATGACTCTTGGTTCTTACGTCGTTGGCCTTGCCCACTATGCATTGTTTGTTTGCCTGTTTGCTCCGTACTGTCTGTTTTGTGGTGTGGTTTGCAGTAATCTGCCGTTTCGTCTGATTTGATGCAGGGAACGCCCTACACGTGCCTTCCAAATTCAAGATTACGGAACAAAAATTGCCACAGCATGCTTTACTTGGCTGGTAATAAAGGCTACAGCTGAAATTGAGCTACGTCAGCTTACGAAACCAGAAATATATCATGTACTTTATACTAGAGGAGGTACAGGTTTTTTAAGCTAACACTGCCACTCACCTGGATCCACTCACCTGATCGGGCTCCTACAGCATATGGGCCTAGACAAAAGAAACCCTCCACCACCGCTCACTGCAAATTTTGTACTTCAAGACTAAAAAATGCACTCTGCAACCAGGAAACAGACGTAAATTCCCACACTGCCTGGACCAGATACCCGTGTGATTCGCAAGGTTCAATGTCTCCAGACAGGCTTTACCACCCGTGTTCGAGAGCGGTACAAGGTGACGTTGATCACCTCCCGGTGGACTGTTGGTGCAGCAATGAGTCGGACACCGACCACTTGTTGATCTGTACCACCCAGTGTGGCTGGCAATAAGTAAGTACCCCATCCCCATGACCTGCTGTGGTTTTATGTCCTCTAACGGCAGAAATATAAAGTCATCATTCAAAACGTCCTCTCCCATCCCTACCCCTTTTAAAAAGGGGACATTCATGACTTGTGCTTGAAAGTGCAACAACCTGCGGTACACATCGGGCCAGACTTTTGCCGGCCACATTTTCAAACCTCTCGTCCGTCAAAATGGGTTAGCTTTGTATCGCTGCTACGAAAGATCGCCGGTGTTTGGTTCCGTCTTTGAACCGTGGCAGCCTTTCATATCGGCAAATATTAGGTTTTCCAGGTTTATGAGTTGGTAAGTTTTTCTTCATCATCAGCAGGGCTATATGTTAGCATCAGCAAGCTTTACGTTTTCCAGGTTAATGGAGAACGTAAAACAGCGGAACGTCGTAACACACGAAAACACAAAACTTGGCATGGCTATGTTTCATTCATGACGCATGCTACACACTGTGAAACGCTACAGACAACATGCATGAAAGGTCTCAAAATGTTAAAGCGTCGGTTCTGAAACTTGTGCTTTTGCTGCAAAACAATGCGTGCCCGCGATTCGTTGGTTGCAAATTTATAGAACATAGCACAAAAGGTGCTCAAACAAGAGGTTGATGCGTGAGCAGGACGTAGAAGAACATGGACGATGTGCGAGCGGGACGTGGGTCGGACGTGGACGATACGTGGGCCGGACGTGAACTGTCCGTGGGCGGAGAAGAGACGGGGGTGCGTGGGCTGGGCGCGACCTGGAACGACGCAGGACGCTCGTGCAGCACGCATTCGGCGAATAGCAACATTGTTCTACCATGTTACGAGGTTCGCAGCAATATAGCATATGTCCGGCCCCTAGACGGTGACGCCCGGGTCGGGCCGGTCCGGCCAAGATCTGCTCAGCCTGTGACCTAGCTCCTAACAAAGGCCACGGCCGGCGTGCTGCGCCGGACTCGGGCGCAGAGGAGGCCGCGAGATTTTCGAAAGCGAAATACCGACACCGCCATACAAGTCAGAGAAGCCGCCGAGTCGGTCTGCAAGCAGCCCGTGCAGCCATGTCACTTCGCGGGCTCTGTTGCAAGGTGAGCCAAAAGGGATCGTTCGTAATTGGCTTGGAGATTCACAAAAAAGAAAACAAAAATCAGTGCAATGGAGCCATAGCGCTAGACAGGTTCAATTAGCGGTATGCCTGCGTCAGTGGGCTTTGGAGACGCCAGCCAGCGATCACCACTGCACGCCTTCATAGCACGCAATTGGCCAGTCAGGGACGTAGTCTAGCAACATTAGTTGGAAGGGGCTGCTGCAGCCAATCCTGCCCTGAATAGTCAACTGCTTCCCCGACCACGTCCATAAATTGCAATGCCCTGGAAATAAGGCAGGCACCCGTGACCCTGCACTCGACCAGGCACTCTCACGCGACACGGACCTGGCAGTAGCGCAGGAACTCGTCCTCGAACACCACGCGCCGGTAGGCGGGCAGCTGGAGAAACTCCTCGCGCACGGCGTCATCGTGGATACCGCCGCACGGGCCCAGGTCGACCTTGGTGTTGGTGAACAGGTCGTGCGGACACAGCTTCACCAGGTAATACCGGCACACCTGGCGGAGGTAAGGGTAAGTGGGGCGCGCCGACTACGGCGGTCGCCCTCGGACAGGCGGGGAGGGGAAAGAACGGCACGCCGGACACCGCGGGGTCGTGTTAGGTCACCGCGCAGTGCCAGCGGCGCCCGCGACCCAGCGACCTCAGGACGTCGCACGCCGCCACCGCCAGACAACAGACCTGGCAGCTGCTCGGCAGCGCCAGACAACAGACCTGACAGCTGCTGAGCACAACCGAGCCGAAGCCGCAGTACTCTGGGCGGGGGGCGGATCACGACACTCCCGCTCTGCACATGCCGCCTGGGAATTATGGCGCTCCCCATGGGTTCCCGCCGGGCAGTGGTTAAGCTGCATGTTTGGGAAACCAGAGGCACCGGGTTCGATTCCACGCAGCGCCCGCAGTTCGCGTCAGGGTGAGGCAGGCGACGCAACACAGACTCAGCTGCCGAGCATTCCGCAAAGCACCCACAACAACAAGGTGTGTCACAAGTGTTCTGCACACCACCACTGAAAGAAAACTGCATCAGCCCCAGGGTCGCGGCTCCGGACCGTCACGGTCGCCGCCCGCCCACCTCAGGGGTGTAGCTTGAGACCGCGACGGTCGGTGCCCGCCCCCCTCAGGGGCGCGGCTCCGTCCGCGACGTCACTAACTGTCCACCTTAGGGACGGTTCCGGACTGCAACGGTCACTGCCTGCTCACCTCAGGGGAGTCATAGGTCAGTTTCTTGGACTGCTGGTCGGGCAGCAGGTCCCGGTTGCGGCCCATCAGCTCGTTAAGCAGGTTGGCTGCGTAGTCGGTCATTTTGGCAGTGGCGGGACTGATCCAGTACAGCCCAACAAGTAGCTCCTCTCTGGCTGGGGCAGCAGGGGGACCAAGCTGGTGCAGTCCGATGAGTGCCTCCTCTCAGGCTGGGGTGGCTGGCCGCAGTGGTCAGGCCTGTATGCAGCAAAAGTCAACACAAATCATCACACAGGTCCCTTTCCTATGTGCTTCTGGATGCCTGCAGCTTTATTCCACACAACAGTTGGACTTGTGATCTTGTCCCAATGATCAAAGACAAACCATTTTAGGTGACAGGCAGCTTCAGGAGTTGTAAAGCAATAGCTTGCCATTTTGTAGAGAATACAATGTGCATTGTTGGGAAGTGGGGTTATTGAGTAATACCAACAGGTGGTACTTGTCTTGCCCATGAACCATGTACTGTGCCTGACAATCACAAGTTTCAAAGCTACAAGTAGCATGGGATATATGTTTCACCCTCAACACTGCTAACAATATGTTATTATTGTAACACCGCCATTTCCCTAGAAAAGACGAGCCCAGACTGACATGCACTAGAATTGTAGGTCCAATATATGATAATGATAGACCTCATCAGGATACTACTCTTACTACCAAGTATCAAAATAGAAATTTGATGCTAACTGAACATATTCTGCATAGAAACCTGAATATACATTCATTATGCATGTGGTACATGGGTATAAATATATATACAAATGCAGTCATATCAATAGGATATTAACATACAGTATTCAAACCTGATCAATTATCTCTATACAATATACATATGATACAAGGTATTTTAAGATACCATGGCATCAATCATGTAAGAACAAACAGTTCTGCTTCTAAATCCTGGCATGTACATAAATACAACAATTGTGTTTCAGACCATAATCGAGCACCCATAAAAATAAAAAGCATACATTGGTTTTGCTATCATCTCACATGATACCTTTATTTCCAAAACACTATAAGAGGTGCACCCTCTTAATTCATCTAGAGGCTTGCAGACCTTGTGGGTTGGAACGAACATTACCAATTTCGCTGCCAGCCAACATATCAAAACAGCAACCAAAGTAGATACCTTGACTGATTACATGCCTTTATAAGTTCACCCACATTACTACTTCAGAAAATTGAGCCAACAATTCACCAGCTAGAATCGCACGTGGCGTACTGATAGATAGCCATTGGTAGAGCACAAATAGAATATACTTATAAATGTGATAAAGTTTATGTCAGCCTCAAATCAAACCATGGCACCTCAGATCTCGCATTTGTGTCATGCTTTCGGCATCAACAGGCCGCAATGGTAAGATCGCCGTAAAATTTGCTTTCCAAATAATTTATGGTAAACTCGTGCCATAGATTCCCAAATGCACTGAAAACAGGTTAACGTACCCCACTGGTACCCAGTGTTCTTAGATATCGCCCAGACTACTAGTTATTATAGATCATCATGAACCCTGCCCACTGAAGCTTTCATGCCACCAAATGCGAAAGCGGCGCACACCGGTTTGGCCCCGGTTGTTGAAACAGACGCCATCACTAATTTATATAGTTGGCCTCAAAGCATATCATCGCAAAAAAACTTGAGTGCTTAGCATATTGCTTATACTAACTAGGTGTATTCTATGACAAGAAACATGCCTCAATCAAAACACTTATTAATTTTTGCTGAACATGCTTCACACGCATGGCTTGAACGAGCGTGAAGGGTTGGTGGTTGTTGTAAGGGGAAGGGGGTGTAGCCTCCGTCTTATGATGTCCGATAATATAATAATGCTTCTGGCGTCGCGTGGAAAAATGGCCATAAGATAACAGGTGAAGATCGTTCAGAAGCTCGACGTGGCAAAGCTGTCTTAATGAACGTCTGCCGGAAGAGAAATGCCGACATTGCTTTTATTCGAAAACTATGGGCTGTCAGCACCTGACCCGGAGCGTTCTCCATCCATGCCTGAAATAATCTTCTGGGTAATAAGTTAAATGCGTGGAGTTCTCCGAATTCAGCCACCCCCTTCCCTTCCCAATGCCACCGGAGCCGACCTCTCGGGACACGGGAGCCGGAGCCGGACCTGACGCCACGCGCCGATTGGCTCCTTGACCCGCCTGTGCTCGCCGCTGGTGATTGTGCGTGCGGCGGCCGACGGTTCGCCGCCGCCGACCTGGCCGCGAGCCGGATGTGGGGGGCCTTGAGAGGTGAACCCCCACCCGCTCTCCCTCTCCACGGCCCAGTGCCACCTCACTGCCGCCTCGGAAGTGTACCAAGAGAACATGGACAGAGCGTTCAAAGAGCCATAGAGCGCTCACCTGGCGACACGCACGTACGCACACGCTTCGCCAGGAACCGCGAGAGTCGCGCACATCAGCGGAAATCCGGAGGGAAGAGCTTCCTGCACGGCTGGCAGGCGGAGCGTGGGGACAGAGCGCGAAGAGGGGCAGCCAGCGTACTTTCTAACACGCCCTGGTTTCGCAGTTCAGTGCCCTGTCGCGCCAAGATGCATTCGTTCCTGGGGCGCTGAGCCGGATGGAACGTACGTTTGCCAATATTGGAGCGGGGTTTCAGCACAACAGATCGGCCAGCGGATTTACATAATCAGGACCCTGTGTATTACGGCGCATGGGGTTCCCGGTACCTTATCGCTTCAGACCACGCGACTTAGTCACACATAGATTTCACCTCAATGCAGAGATGCAGTCAAGGGAGAGGCCTAAGGACCGATTTTTCATGTTTTTCATCTTGTAAATGGCACATGAAAGAGCCGAAAAGGGCGGCGTGACGCGTGTTCACTAAGCTCCGTCCCACCCTCTCCCCCTTACACAAAATCTTGGCTGCATGCGTGCCTGAATGCCATTGGCACATTCAGTTACGACCTCCTGGAGAGACCGCGGATGACGACATCGATTTATTTCAAAAGACGATTCTCGAGGCAAGAGGAGCAACAGCTTGGTAGAATATCTGATAAGTAACAGTGAACCGGTGCGGTGCATACGGACGGCACGGGGCGCATGATCCAGGATCAAGTTTGAATCATGGTCGTCCGAATCCGGTGGGAATCGGAATCGAAGCCTTTTCAGCGCGAAACTTTTAAGCTCGGGCTCAAACGTGTCAGTTCGCTTTGCGAATGAATGTGCTTTGCTTAGAATTGGAATGAGTATGTTTAGGATTGTGTTTTGCTTAGGCACGATCGAGTCATTGTACCCGGATGTCATCCGATTCAGACGTTTATCAACGAAATCAGACTGCAAGATTCTGGAGGCCTACGACTGAACTCAGTCTGAGGTTCAAGTCAAATCAAACAGGAATCATCGGTTACGTTCTGGTCGGTTAGTTTGGTCTGGTTGACTGCCGTTAGTTTGTGTGGTTAGTCTCGGCTCGGCTGTATGTTCGGTTTAGCCTGGTACGTTTGGAAGGCTCGATTATAGACTGGGTGAGTAGCCTACGTTGTGTTGGTATCCACTAAAATCTTGTCGGGCTTATGGACGCGAGCCAGTGCCTCAAAACTCTTACTCATGGGGATTGAATAAGGACTCAAGCTTGAATTTGCGAATGACTGTTGTGCGGTCAAAGCTGTAGAATCAGACATGTATTCAATGTTCTGGGGCCTCGGCCCTGGGAACAGGCTTCATGCCCAGTGTAAAAGGATGGACTCAAAACTCAGAATACAGCTCAGACACGGACTCCATAACGCTGGATTTCTGGTCAACACTCGTATATTTAGGCTCAGACAAATGCTTGACGAAATTGGCGGCAGTCGGCATCGAGTGCAACTCTGCAAATATGTTAGCTGACCGGTTTCAATCGTGAGAGACAGGCTGAATCATGCGATGATTGGCTTGATCTACACCGAGACATAGCTTGGTTTTTAAACTTTTGCATCCAATTAATGCCATGCAACCCAGGTGACACTGATTCAACACTCACAGACGCACGACAGGTGTAAGGTATAGAAAATACGAGAGTGCACTCGTGTAAAGACGGGAATTGTCGAATGTTCGCCTAGAATCAATACTAAAAGTGGCCGGACGTGGAGCGCGGGCTAACGACTTACCCGCCGCTGATTGGCTATAGGAACCACTGTTATGTAGCAATACACCTTGAAATCAGCTAAGCATGCTCTACAGCAGCGAAAGGTAGTACAGCAGATCACCGCCAGTCCAGGCCGATTGGGAGCCATCGAGCGAGCCTTTCCTTGTCGTGCCGCGGTAACTTGGAACGGTCAAACATCGACCACCACTATGTCTTCATATCTGAAGGATTACAAATCAAATGCCGGTTACCTGTGTGATTGTACGCCATGCGCAGGTACGTGTGGATTTATACATGCCAATGTGGATCCCATGTGCCAAGGTATTTTCTTTCATCTTTCTATATTTATTCTAAGTTTGACACATTCCGTTATCAATCTAGCACCTTCATTGGATCTATCGTTTGACTTCGTACGTATTCTGTGACACTCTATGTTGTCGCATCGTATTCTTGCTATAGTATTTTACAGCATCATATTGAACAGTTGTAATTGTAATATTGCTTTGTAATATCCTTCTTTGTAGCATATTTCGTGGCCTAGTATTTCACAGCCTTTTGCGATGTGTTATAACGAGTGAGTGAGCGCTGCAACGAATCGACGTCGCAACGAGCCGAGGACCTGAAAACTACTTCATTGGTGGATTTCGAGCAAACAAATACAAAAACAAATACAAATACGAATACGCCACGTTAGCTTTAATGTCACCTTTGGGGCTGGACCCTGCCACCAGCGCCGATGGAGACCAGTTAGCTCCAACAGCAGCCAACTGGCGGTGAATGACCCCTGGCAGCTCCTTCGGGACAACAGCGGCTCAAGGTCAGGCCCCGGTCCACCGCCGGCGCAGAAAGTGAAAGTCGGTGTTGTGAGCGCAGGAAGTCGCCGATTCTGTCGGCCCATCTGACGTCGCTGGGCGTTACGACTGCCGCTGTGACCAGACAAAGACAGCCAGTGGGGAACGATTTGGCAGTGGACTGTTCAGCCCTTGCCCGTAGAAAAACATAAACTTTTGTCCAAGAAAAAGGACGATTCCAGCGATAGATACGAAAGCACCGCAAGGATGCTGGAAAAATACGAGACATGCGGTTTTAGCTGCTTTCGGCGGCCAATGTTATCCGTCACCGTCCACTACAATGTCAGTTATCGCCAGTCAACTGTCGATTACGTCCGAAGGTTGTTGGGTCCAACTGTACGTCTGGGTAGGTTTGTGTACCCGAACACCTGTAGCAGAAAATCCGGACACAGGAATTGGCAGTGTTTGCAAGCGTGAGCTTCCGCAGCATGACGAGCCTGCTGTTCACGGACAAAGCAAACAAACCTTTAGCAGTATATTTGATGATCCAATGTCTCAGGCCCGAAGCAGACGTGCATGTTAAAAAAGCAGGCACAATTACTGATCATCATCACCTTTACGTCATATTAGTCAGGTGGCATCAGAGCTCAGCGTCCTACGATACCAAAGTGATGTTTGCTGGCATAAATCTAGCCTGGCGCCTTCGGGCTGTGCGCTCTACAGCATGGTGACTGGCAGTGCCAACAAATGATTGCGCACCACCGTAACCATAGCAACCGTTACCGGTCGGCGCGAAAATCATCTGATCTGGACAAGGATCCGCAGTACGTGGCGACACCTTGGCGTTACGGAGATAGCCCGTCGCTGCTGGCAGCGGTTTGTTGCAGCACCTGTGCCAAACTTGGCCCTGCTCGTCGGAAGTCAGATACGCCCGCAGTGTGTCTGCATGTCGTAACTCGTTTCCGCCGCTGCACGCCGTGTGACGTCACACCGTCGCGGTATCAAGGGTCCGGCTTACGCCGCTCTCGGATCCTGAGTGTTCCGCGTGCCTGCGTGGGACCGCGTTTGGCACGGCTGTGTTCTCGCACGTGAGCGCTTAAAGATTGCAGACGAAGTGTTGAGTTAAGGATTCGATGTCAGGCAAGGCATGGTTATACTGCTTTACGCGTAGTGTTCTCAGATGAACTCCCCTATCCATGATGGGAAACAACCTAGTATTTTTTACTCGAAATTGGAACCCTAGCTGCCTTGTTGCGAATTCTCGCGAGAAAACAAAATCGGGTAACAAATTTTTGGATTTGGCAGCGTTAGTTCAGATAATGGGTGCATTTCGGCTACAAAATGAGAAACAATACGGAAAATACAACTGTTGTCTTGACCCATTTTTAACGTAATTCCGTGCCGAACATCACTTATTTCTTGCGCTCCGAACCCAGCATTCAATTACTGGAATGCACGCCCAGCGGATCCATTTTACCACGGTCCCTTATCCAAATAGCACAAAAAACTTTTGCCGCGCCACGCGATTACACGATTGTCGGCTGCCCTGTGACCAGGCTGACATTATGAAGCCAAAGGCCATGTGCCCTCTTTGACGAGCCATATAAGAACACTTAGAATGGCAGGTGAACCTGCCACCACGCGTTTCGCCGCGTCACGAATGTAGTCAGTATAACTCAAGCGCT